TGATCTGATCTCTCCTTAAATGAAATTTTTAACGGTGCATGATCTGAAGGGTGTCTTGCCAGGTGAAGCACAGAAATTGCATTTGAGAGATCCAAATAAGCCCCATTGACTAAAAACCTATCCAACCTCTTTGAAACCCGAGCTCTTCCTCTACGATTGTTAGACCATGTGAAGCTAGCTCCTGAAAATCCTACGTCAAAAACTCCGGCATCTTCCATAAAAGACATGAATTCCATCCCCTCCGCTATAACAAATGGACGTCCCCCTCGTTTTTCATGAGGCGCTAAAATAACATTAAAATCACCCCCAATGCACCAAGGAAGAGAAATTGGCTTATCATTTAATAAGGTATACCATAAGACACGGCGCTCCTGCACTGAGCACTTAGCATGAACAAAAGACATGACGATTGGAGAAGAAAGCAATTGACTTTGGACATGTATAGAAATATGCTGCTCCGATCTACCCACAATGGAACATATAAAAGGACTACTATAGAAAACCCAAATATCACCCGAGTTATTAACAAAGGTATGATCAAATAATAATCGTAGACGAATGGAGTCAATTTTGGACTCGTCTAACTTTGGTTCACAAATCACGACAAACTGAACATGGTGAGTACGAACTAATTTAATCAATCTTCGTAGATTAGGGGCCTTAGCTACCCCTCTAATATTCCAAAATATTCCACTAATCATGAGAAAAAACCTGGAATTAGTTATGGGATGATGTTGCCGAACGTAGCTGCCTGTCGGATGGGATGTAAGCTCGCACACCTTTAACCTTTTCTTGTCGGCAATCCCTCTCCAAAGCTACAGATTGGTCAATGTTTAAAGTGTTAATTGATGGCTCCACTGACCTCTCACTTGTTACAACCAATCTTGGAGATAAATTCCCTGCTGTAGTTGGCAAGGCTGCTTCATCAACCGCATCGGATTTGGAATCTTCCTCCTCGACCCCACACAAGTCGACATAAAGAGTTTCAAGCTCAGTGGAGTCGGACTGTTGAAGATATTCACCTGCCAAATGCTTCTCCTCAGCAGGTTGGGACCCGTCACCTTTGTTCCAACTGTGATTGTCGGCATTTTGATTAACCAAGGTGGTAGTGTCGGCCATTTGCTGTTGAACATCTCCCAAGACTTGCTCCACTAGACTATGGGACCCTTCACAATTATGTGCATGGTCTTGGCCTGCAATTGTCGTTTGAACGTTGTGCAATGGTCCCTCCCTGTCATCATCAACCACCGACTGTCCATTTGCATCAGCAGCGGAAGCTTCGGCAGCTTGAGCTTGGGCAGTAATGCTGTTGAGCTTATCATCTTGAGGAGGAGTTGTATTCTCTTTCTCAGCTATCCGATCAGGTCCAACAAATTTCTCCATTCCAGATGTGGAAGCTCCTTGGACTTCAACAGCACCAAGTCGCGCATCTTCAGTCGACACCTCCTTGTTGATTTCAGTCACATCTTCAGTCGTAACCTCCTTGTGGAAGCTCCTTGTTGATTTCCCTTCATCTTTTGGATTGTCCGCAGGAGTAATAACTAACCCATACTGATTGTTCCCAAGTATCTTAGAACCATGCTGCAGCCGGTTGGTTTGATGATTGTGGTATTGAAGTTCTCCCTTGGAAACATTATTCTTGCAGTTGGTAGACGAATGACCCAATCTCCAGCAGGATGAACAATATGGTGGCATGTTGTCTGGAACAATTCTTTGCCAAAATCCTGATTCTCCTTCAACAGCTACCCATATCCTTGGCATAACAATCTTCGCTACATCGATCTCCACGCACACCCTGGCCACACTAGGACGTGTCCCAGCAGCCGTTGCCGAATCCAGGAACAATGGTCTTCCTACTTGAGATAATATGGAGAACAAAGAGTGTTTATCGAAATAATGAATGGGTAAATTTGGAAGCTCTACCCAAATCGGAACCAGAGATGACTCTCTTTGCACATGAAACTCCCTGGTCCAGCGAAATACCCGCATCGGATAATTGCCCAATTGCCAAATCCCTCTTGTCCAAATCCTGTTAAAATCTACTTCAGCAGAGCACTTAATCAGGACATGTCTATAATCCATCAATCCAATGGAGATGTGGTCTTTTAGATTTAAAGAAGCAAAGAACTTGCGAATATCCTCCAACGAAGGTCTCCCATGAGAAAATTTTCCAACCAAAGCCCATCGAAACGGCACTGCTAGTTTTTCCACATCTGCTCTCGAGAAGATGACCGCAGCTTCACCTTTGTAAACAGTTGCCTGCCGAATTTGGATAGGAGATGTTGAAGGCTGTGAGAAAAGTTGGGAGAAAGTTTTTTTCCCTGTAGGAGATCCTTGCCCCTCAGCCGATGGCTGAAGGGCAGCCATGCAACCCTAAAAATATTTGCAGAAAGAGAGAGAAAAGAGGAAAGAAAAACTGTAATAACTATTGAATATATGTTGAAGTAATATAATTAATATTATCAATTATACAAATAATTAGACATGTCTACTAATAGAATTTATTAATTAGTTTACTAAATTTACTAATACATTTATACTAAATTTCTAATTACACTTAATAGAATAACACTTTTTTCTCAAAAAAAAAAACACAAACACAATAATGAATTAGTGATTGTATTGGTACCAAAAGCAAAAAACTTAACTATTTTAGTTGTATTTATTTCATCATGTTGGATTGTATTCAAATAACTTTTGTTTGATTGTTTTATGAGTTTCAATCGTAAAATTACAATGAATAACAACTTGATGATGTGTTGATATTTTAGTACTTGATTATTTATTAAAATTTAACTATAATAAAATTTTATTAACCCCGCGGGGCGGAGCGGGGGGAGTGGGAGGCGGGGGACGGGGCGGGGGTCGGGGGGAATTAATAGACAACGGGGTGGGGGGTGGGGAGGGGTCCCCCGCCCCGTTGCCATCCCTATTCTTCAGCATTGAAGAACTACGATCTAAAAATGTCATTTTTGGGGCCTCAAGGGAAGTTTTTAATTGACAAATGTATTTTATTTATGACAAAGTTAGGTTGCAATTGAGCCTGATTGGCTTGGTTATTATTTGAGCTGAGGTCGGACGAATTTTATAATTTTTTGGAATTGAACTCATCTCATGCCCAAGTAACTATATTCATTGCAAGCTAAGTTTAAAAACCTTACAAACACTATTCTTATTCATGTTGAGCTTGAGTACTTGAATGAAATGTTGAAACCAACTATACCAGATCCAACATCAATCCAAGTTTTGATTATTTTGATTCCTTCTTCAGCCTTAGTTGAATATCATACTTTTCTTTCTTGTACGATGACTTTTGTGCTACTAATGTTATTGGCAATACTAGTACTCAATTTCATCGATAAAAAATGGCTGGTTGAATGGTGTACTAGTTTGAGTTTTCGAAAGCTTCCAAGTGTAATTTTAATCTTTCTCTTTTTCTTGTTTGCTTTGAAGCCCTACCTGATCCAGAGAGCATACCATTGTCCATTCTTCGTAGTATTTTTGTAAAGGAGATGACTCACTTCAACATGAGGAAGATTTGGAGGCTTCAACGCTAAGCTGGGAATAATACAAGAGAAAATGGCTAAAAGTAACTGATGCAAAAAAAAAAAACCTTCAAATTGTGATTCAATATCACTTTTCTTTAAACTTTATTTGTCCAGAATTTTGTGTGCAAATATCTTGGACAAATAACTTTTAAGATAATTTGAAAGTTATTTGCCTTAACTTTTGCACAAAGTTAGATAAACCTACTTGAACTCTGGTGTGTTTTGCAGAGAATTCTAATTGTAGGAAAATGATCTTTTACAACAAACTATCTCTACTAGATCCTTATAGAGTTGAGATTGGAAACGATCAAGAGTTGCAACCTTTCTCCGCTTGTTTGTGTATTTGTGTTGGTCCAAAATTTCCTCAACATCAATGCAAGTGTTCAGACAGTTCTTGGATGTTTAAACACCATTTGAATGATAATTAACTTTTAAAACATGAAAAGGTACCCAGTAGACTTAAATGACTTCTGACCATTACAGGAGCCATACAGTGATGGGTCTTATGTCGAGTCTTAAGACGGGCCCCTGTCTTGCAAATGATTAAATTTTGGAAAATATCCAACCATCCACTGTCATTTTTAAAATTTAGAAAATAGACCTCCAAAAAAGTTACAGAATAATCTGATAATCATATGCATAAATAATAGTATCTTTCAATTGAATCACTATTATAGTGAAGGTTATTTGAAACTAATCAATACAAAATGGTAGATCAATTTTGAATCACATGTATATTAGACTAGGCTCATAAACACGTCACACATAAATCAACACACAATCGTATGTTCTTTGATGATACATTTTACGGCTCCGTTCTCGCTAACCGAAAATGGAAATTCCAACTCCGACTTGAATATTCTAACTCTACTTATATATTGACCTATAATACTTTACTTTTCTGATGTGAGACTGGTTATTGCAAGTGTTAATTAGTTCCAGTCACGATAAGTGAAAGTCTTTCTCATTTCTACTGCTTGCACCATATTGAAACAAATCCTCGTGCTTTGTGACCCTATACGAATTGTTTGATAATTTTTTAATAAACTTTCCATTCGTTTCCTTCCGGAGAAAAAAGATATACTACATTTGTTCATAAAAATTATTTGAATTTGTCACGTACTCAAAGATAATTTAAAACGACGACACTTATATGTACTTGTAAAAGTGAAAACAATTTCTCACTTTTCCAGTTCACAAGGAATGACGAACAAAACAGAGAGGACTTTCCCAGCAAGTGTAACTATTTTTGTTGTAGCTGTTCTTGCACAAATGACTTTACACGTGCACGGTCTTAAACTTCCAAGCTAGTATTTTGAATAGTAAGTCCCAATGACTGATATAATTTCTAAATCGTCTAACAAAACTCAAGAAATTAATTCTGCGACTTGGCAAAATAAAATCAAGCTTAAGAACCATTGTGCACAAAATTTAGTAAAGGTGAAAGAATGACAGAGAATCATAGTTGCATAAATGACATACCATCAGAATATCTGATGCAATATTGTCAGAAACAAAGTAGTTGAATAGATGAAGTGTTGATTGCTATGAACATTAGGTGAAAAGCAAACTGTCCTAAAAATCTAATCATCCCAGCCCACTTGAATCTCTGAAGGCAAGGAATTGTTAATCTGAGGAGCAAAAGACATGGAACTTAACTTCACTGGTTGGATAATACTCTTTTTTACAAGAAAGACAATACCATATTCATCAATTAACACAAGGAGAAGTACATCAGAGCAAGATCCAAAGTTCACACCCCAACTTAAAAATACAAGGAAGCAAGACTATGGAACTAAAATCCAGCCTCTCAACTGGAAGAAAATATGAGCTTCTAGATATGATCCAGCTCAGATTCCTTGCAGAAACAAATACCTTCTCACCTTGTTCTTCTAGCACAAATTTGGCCAAGAGATCTGTGGCCTTATTTTCATCACAATACACTTGCTGAAAAGAAAATATGACATTATCAAAGATATTGAAACAAAAACAATTCAAAGAGGTTATATAGTATCTGAATGTTGCTGGCCAGAGCTAGGTAGAAGGCTTTATTAAGGCAGAACAGAGAAGAAAACATGAAGAAGATAGATGCTTCAGCACCTCCTTTTTGAGAATTCATTCAAGGGAGCTGAAGACAAAAGCAAGTGAGCATGATATTCTGCAAAACAGGTTAAATTTCAGTTTCACGCATAATGATATTGCTTTAAGAAATAGATTCAGTAGTGTCAGTAGAAATGTTTTACTAACCTGTAAGAGAAGCACTTACAGAACATCATTACTTATCAATCACTTTTCTGGTGGATAAACACTAAGCTTAATTTGTGGCCTTGATTTTTGAATGTCCTTGGCAGATTTAACTAGCCACCTGTTGGTACGCTCTAGGTCAATCCTCTCGAGGTTCTTCATGTGTTCAAAATCAGATGGCATCTGCTCAAGAGATTTGATACGCTTGAGGATAAGGCATCTCAGTTCTGGGAGATCATCTCCTTCAACCTCCCAATTATCTAAATCTGTATCTCCAATGAACAAAACTTTAAGAGAACGAAAACCCCCTTTTTCTGTCTTCCACTCCGCTCCTACAAAAGCATTATCCTTCAACTTGAGAACCTCAAGAGACTGGAGCTTTCCGATTATAGGCATATGAATATTCCATTTTAGACTGGTCTTTTCTAGACTCAACCTTTTTAGATTTGTCGGAAATTTGTTTGATTTAGGAAGGGCTTGCAACTCGGAATTTATATCAGCACCATGTAACTTCAAATTTTCAATAGTGCTTAGTTTGCACAGATAGTCAAACAAATGAGAATCACCATCAGGCTCCACAAGAGTGCCTAAACTCCCACATATACCAAGCTTCTTGAGTTTCTTAGTCCTTTCAAACACTTCCTTTCTGAGACTGCGAGGCGAAATAGCAGACAGAGTTTGTAGAGGCAAAGTTTGACGGTTTCCACTACTTGAGGATTGATCCTGATACTCTGGCAAGGATGTGGTAGTATTAGTATGCAGATGCCTAAGCTTTGTCATTCCCCAAATATCTGCTTGTATATCAAGGGTTGGTTCCGTTGTGTGAACTATAAGGGTTTCCAAGTTATGCAAGATAGACATGCTCTTCGGAAGTATTTTAAGGTTGAAATTGATGTCGATGAACTTTAGGAGAACAAGATTGGATAGTTTAGTGGGAAGACGACCAGAGAACTTAATGTGTATGGATGAAATATCCAAGATTCGGAGTAGTTTGAAGGGCTTAAAAATACTTGAGCTGGAATCTTCCTTATACCTAGTTTCATCTTCACCAAAGCTCAAGAATGACCGGACTTTCTCCACAGGCTGTCCTCCACGAACAAACTCCGAGAAGTGAGAGTTAATGCAGCAAAGTCGACGGCTGGAAGATGGATTGGTATTCGTGTCAATTGCTTGGAAAAGATCTTCTGCTTCGGCCGTCTTCTTGCAGAATTCACGCAGCGTGTCATGGATACGACAAGTCTTAATCTCACCACCTAAAGTTCTCTGTCCCACAATCAATAAATTCCTGTAAACCAACTCCTGCAAATATTGTTCGGCTATTCTCTCCAAGCTTGCTGTCTGATGTTGGGGAATGAACCCTTCAGCGATCCACAATTGCAACACTTTTGACACTTGGATCTCCAAATTCTCAGGGAAGACACCAAGGTACAGAAAACAGGGTTTGAGTTTGTGGTGCAAGTTACGATAACTCAGTCTTATATAATCATCGATTTGAATCACATTTTCTTCATCTAACAGAGGAACTTTATCAAGCACATTATTCCAATGCTTTAAATCCTTTGGATGATGCAAAAGAATACCTCCTGTTAGCACTATTGCTAGTGGTAGCCCGTTACACTTTCTCAGAATCAACGGTTCAACAGATTCCAGGTGCTTTGGACATTCGTTTTTTCTGAAAACCTTCATCCTTAGTAATTCTTCAGCCTCTTCTTTTTTCATAAATCGCAATGGATAGGCTTCAGTCTTTGGTTGAATGCAGTGGGAAACACGCACATCTCGAGTAGTTATTAACACCCTACTGCCATTGTTTTTGTCCGGGAAAGCATCCTTCAGATCTTCCCAATGTGCTATATTCCAAACATTATCCAGCACAACCAAATACTTGTGCTTCAATTCCTCATGGACCTTTTTGACTAAGCCTATGATGTCCATGTTCTGATCCCTGATGTCACTCTTCAACGACCTTAGGATACTGAGGAGCATTTCTTTCTTCTCGTACTTCTCCTTAACTTCAATGAATATACGGGTAAAAAAATCATATTCAGTTTCTTGGGCCTTGAAGACCTTATTTGCAAGTGTCGTCTTTCCTAGGCCAAGCATGCCATGAATAGTCACTACTTTTAGCTTCTTAGATTCAATTTCTTGCTGTGCCTTGGGCACGCTCTGCTCCACTGCCCCGGATTTCGCACCAAGAAGTATCAATACGTCATCAGCTGCATCCTCAAACCCAATGATTCTGTCTGCCTTTGGATAGCTTCCTAGCTATATTATAGCATCAATATTACAAAATTATGAGACAGTTAAATGTAAAAATGATCAGCATAAATCAAGGGGGGCCAGTACCACCCCTTCAAAAATCTGTCGCACTAAAATTTAAAAATTTATGCATCTTTATAACTAGTGCAATTGTTGTTTAATCACAAAGATCTCTGAAGAGCACAAAGGAAAACAGTTAAGAAAAATGAATACATTAAAATGTCCATGAGTGATATGGTTAGTGCCAAATGACAAAAACTTAGTCGCGTTATTTAAATTGAACAGACGATATTCTGAGGGGGAGGAGGAGGAAGGCGGAGAGGGGGGATGGGTGATGTGGAAGAGGAAGAAGGAGGAAAAGAGAGGAAGAAAGAGGGGGAGGGAGGGTGGTGGCAGTAGTGGAGGGAGAGGGGAGATGGGTGAGGGTGGTAGGTGCTGGTTATAAAAATTTGTTAACAAATTTAAAATATATCTCAATAAAATTTTAAATTTTAAAAAACCCAAAAATACATCCAAAAAATATCCAATTCAGATGGGTCTGTTTTTCAAATACAATCTTATTCAAAACGCTCCTAAAAACACTAAATGCATATGAACTAAAAATTAAATTAGTGCAAGTTGGAGGTGGAGAACTAGAGCAATTTTATTACATTTTGTAGCGGCCAGGATTCCTTTTCACATGTTGGACAGTGACGATCCTCACAAGAAAATTGTTTATTGTTTATTTTCTTGTTCATACATTATGATCACGTCGACCTAGCAAGTTTGCATTTGTCTATTACAATAGGTACTTTTGGGATATTTTCAGAAATTACTCTACATCATTGCATATGCAAAACTTTCATTGTAGTTGTATGTAAGGATGTTTATAAAATTTAAATTTTTATTGTGATAGTTTAAATTTTTTTTTAACACTTCCCACCACACACCACTACCATCCACCACACAAAACCACCTACCACCACTACCATCCCTCCCCTCCTCCCCCCTCCACTGCCACCAACCGCCTTCCCTGTCCTTCCTCCTCCACCCTCCCTTTCTTCCTCCTCTTCCTCCCTCTTTCCCTCCCTTCCTCCCCCACGACCAAATAGATCTGGCCGTGACACCCACCGGACCTGACCAGATCTGGTCACGTGTTACTGAAAAACTGTACAAATAGACATATAGCAACTTAACAAAACCTTCACAAAATTTTCAAGTGTAAGTATGAACTATGAAGTTTTCCAAATGAAGTTGAGAGATGATAGAATTCTAAAAATGAGAAGTTAATTAAAACATAACTGTTTAAAAAGCAGTAAATAAATTAATCAATGAATAGCAGGCCGGCCAGATGCATCCGCACCTGATTGGCTTCAGGAATTGGATTACGTCTTCGGTCCTCGTCTATTTGCAACAAAGTATTGATAATACCCTGGTTGTCTTTGTACGCCTTGTCAACCCTTTCATTCAGGTTCAATATCCTTTCACCTATGGTGTGAAGGCGACTTCTGTATCCGGTGTCTGCCTTTCTTTTGACCCAATTCTTTTCCCCGTGCAGTGCCTCCTCGACGACGTATGTTTCCAGGACATCTTCAACGTCGTTCATCAGTTCCCTGATCTCCTTCGCCAGTTGCATCAGTTGAATGCTTCCATAGTAGTGCTTGTCAGTGTATCGCTTCATTGATGTTTCCAGGAGACGGAGGTTACTGGAAAGCTTGTCGATTTTTTTTTCATTTCGAGTCATCAACGCAACATGATCTTTGATCAGCTGCAGAACATAAGGTATGATACTTTGTGCTACAGCCCCTACAACGGCAGCATCCATCTCCCACCGATTTCCTTTTTGTTTTCTCAGAGGAAATGAAAGCAAGCTAGACAAATTTTCTTAATTTGGAACTATGAACACGTATATATGGCGGCTCTAGTTGAGATTGAGAAAGATGGACCTACTCTTATGAATACTAGCTAGAGTTCACTGATCAAGGCACTTTTTTATTTTTTTTTCTCAAGCATATAAATGTGTGCGTGTCTATATATATCTATAATATATATATCCACACACAAAGTTGATCATCTGGTTGGTCTTGGACTGACTGAGTCATAATACTAAAAACCAAATGCAACACTTTGTTTTATTTTTCATGCATGTATTATGATCTACTCAACCAAGTAATTTTGTATTTTTATTAAGAATTCCGTATTATCGTTAGGTTACTTAGGTAAGCCTCTAGTTTGGTGCGTTGTCGATGAAAACCTTGCTGGGAAAAGAACGAAGTGCACTGCATGTCGTTACCAGTAGGGGTGCAAACGAATCGAACCGCTCGCGAGCGGCTCGATTCGAGCTCGACTCGATCTCGATCAATATCGAGCTCGAGTCGAGCTCGAGCTCGAGTTTAAAACATTAAACTCGTTAGCTTGCGAGCCGGCTCGCGAGCTCGAATATATATATATTTATTTTTTTTATTTTTATTTTTAATAGTAAAATTATATAAATATCCTTAATATTTTATTATTTATTAAGAAAAAATATTATTTTATTTATTTTTTTAAAAATAAAATAATTATTTTTTATTTTTTTCGAACTCGAACTCGAGCTCGAGCTCGGCTCGAATCGAGTCGAGCTCGAGCTCGAGCTTGAAAATTACCAGCTCGTCGAGCTCGAGCTCGAGTTCGATGAAATTAAGTTAAGGCTCGACTCGATAAGGTCAAAATTCGACTCGACTCGGCTCGTTTGCACCCCTAATTACCAGATGCAGTGTAATTAATTGAGTTATTATTCGTCTACCTTGACCCCACCATTGTAAGTTATTCGTAATCATACAAAATAGACAATATAAATTTAAAAAAAAAACATTTTAGTAAGTATGAAATGGGGAAGGAAGAAAGCAAATGCTAGCACACAACTTTTATCCATAAAAAACCTCTCTGGAAGAGAAAAGCGAGTGGCATTACATGGAGGATCTTATTTTTTAATGTAGTACTTTCTTGACGCGCTAAACTATACGTGAATAACGCAAGTGGGCACTGGGAATCTGGTCCATTTTGCAGCAGCCAATCCTACTAAAGAGTGATATATCTATTCTGCAATACTTACAATTGACAGTAGTAGCGCCTAGGGAGGGGATTTCCATCTACTGTGGAAACTTTCCAGACCAAGGCAGAGAAAGAACTCAAAGTTCTTAACACCAATTTTGAAGCTAAACTATTCAAGCCAATTCTACTACAGCCATTTTCTTTTTAATCTTCACCAAACGCCATCAGGCGCGTTAGGATAGGCATTATTTGTATAAAAATTATTTATTTTTATTATAAATATATTTTCAACACATTTTTTATATTTTTAATTATTTTTTATTTCACATACAGTACTTATTTTAAATAATATTTCAAATAAACTTCTAACTAAACACACTAAATCATTTGTGTACTTGACTATCTGTAGTGTAGCCTATTAATTTTTCTTTTAGTAACTCAAAATATGCTCCGATTCGAATTTTTAGGATTTAAGTCGACATACCAAATCGAAGGAGTGTGTCACGATCACACACAGCGACCTCGAACGAGTCACGAAAGTTTAAATTAAAAATAAGACGTTTAAATTAAAAATAAGATTCGAATCCAAAATTATAAGAATATTTCAGAACTCGCCTACAGCTGGACCACCCTGGTGAGCGCCACAGCCGATTAATTTTGTTGAAGAATTATTGTGCCTCTTGTCCCATCTCGGTCATTTTAGTGCGGTATGGACAGAGTATCCAAGGCAACTATGCACGTACTTTTTTTTTGACCTTTTCTTTTTGGTGCGAAACTATGCAAGTACTTGGCCTAGCTCCTCGTTGTGGGCAAGGAGCTCTAGAGTGAGTGGCTACCGTGAGTCTATGACTGGTCTCTTTTGTCCCCTCTCGGTCATTATAGTGCAGTATGGACAGAGTATCCGAGGCAACTATGCACGTACCTTTTTTTTTCCCTTTTTTTTTTGGTGCGAAACTATGCAAGTACTTGGCCTAGCTCCTCCTTGCGGGCAAGGAGCTCTAGTGTGGATGGCTATCGTGAGTCTATGACTGGCATATAGGTTTGTTTGCTTGTTCAACAGTCAACTTCTTGAATTTGGGTAGGAGCACTATGACTGGCATGTGTCGGCACATTAGATTATTTGAATTTTTTTTAAATATTATAATATTTTTTTTGATGTGATGCATATAAAAATAAAATAAAAGAATAATTAAAAAATGTAAACTTACTTGGTCAACGGTAAACATTTTGAATTTGGATAGTAAATTATTTTAAATAATTTTTTTTAAAAAATATTATAATATTTTTTTAATATAATAAATATGAAATAAAAAAAACGATTGAAAACTATATTGATTATGTAAACAAATAAAATTTGATAAATAATCTACCATCAAAACAAATATTAGTAATTAGCATTTTGGTGCAGAATCCTTTTCCAAAAATGCAAAAAAAAGAAAGTGTTTTGGTGCACACCCATGATATAATAGTTTATCAATTTATCTTAGACAATGATGATCAGACACTAGTCTTTTAACAGCCATATTTGAACACAATAGTTATATGTAGCTTCTTCTTTTTTTCCCAAACGGCAAATAACACACACAAAATAATAAATACATACACAAGCACTTAACGAGAGAACGGCCCAAAAGATAGTCTAAGGAAATCCATAAATTAATACCATTCAGCCAATTGATGACAGGAGCAACAGTTATATGTAGCTGCTAAATGTCTTTTAAAGCATCTCATTATAGTTGAAGCCTTTTGGCTGTGCAGCAATGTCGCTTTGTGTTTGTCGGCCTCCATCATGGTGGAGAACTGGAGATACATCCATGCCATGCTACGTGCACCTTTGTTGTTTCCCCCCTTTTTTGGGTGCCCCTAAAATTTTCATTAACAATAAATTTGATATGTGATGCCATTCACATTAAACAAGACAATTGAAAAAAATCGAATCTCTCATTTTCAATGGGTTTGTCTATTTGGTGTCCTCAGGCCGCCAAGTAAAAAGAAGTGGGTCCATTGTTATATTTTAAAAAAATTTATTTTCGTTGTGCAAAAATACTGCAGTTTAGAGGGTGGTTGATAATTGTAGAGTATTAATATTTGATCCCGTTTTCTTTTTTAATGTGCTTATTTGGTGCCTAAAAAGAAAAAAAAATTTATGACATGATGATAACGGTGAGAATGTTGACAGTTAAATCGCACTGATGTTCATAAAAATAATAAAGTTAAATCATTGGATTAACTTTTATACATTGATAGAATAGTAAATTTTCTACACTAATAGCTTTAGATGCATATCACATGTACGTGATTTGAATTTCAAAATTGAAGTCATGTTATATGGCATTGATCTAAACCTGCTTGTATAAAAAAAATCTTTACACCAACAATGTATAAAAAGGTTATCTTGAATTATTACCTGTTAAAATCAAATTTGAGGTCATTCTTTATCTATTTGTAACTTCCACTTTAATATCAAACACAATTTTGATTTGCCAATTTTTACAAAAATTTGATTTTTGTTCCCGTTAGAAAGTATAACTGATCCATGCGAACGGTTTTAAGTCTTATGTCATTATTCTAACAAACATTTAGAATGACTTTCACCACAAGCTATTACCCAAATTATATCAATTTTTCTGCCTCTTTATCAATTTAGAAACATAGGACCAGATATACTTTTGTTGGGTTTGTTTGGATGGTAAATTATTTATCAAAATTTATTTGTTTACATTATCAACATATTTTTTAATCATTTTTTTATGTCACATATATCACATCAAAAGGTGTTACAATATTTTTTTCAAAAATTATTTCAAATAATCTACTATCCAAAATGAGAAACATTGCTGACTAGGTTGTCTGTCATTGAAATTTTAAGGGCCAAATGTGCAACTTTTCCGATATAGAAAATCATTGCCAAGACATATTAAGTGTGCATTGGATAAAATTGAAATTTGAAATCTAAAATTTGAATTTATTAAGTTATTAAATTATTAAATCCCAAATCTGATACATTTGAATGCATATCATTTTAAGTAATAAGTAAATAGTTTATTACTTATTTTTCCGAGCAAGTTTTACCTTCGAAATTTGGTGCCAATTAATTAATTAATATATTCAATTTTTTATTATCAAATGTGACTAAACAAATTAAGATCTGAATTCATTAAATTTAAATGTTGAATTAAATTATCAAACAGAACCTGAGTCGTTTGTCACTTAGGGTGAATTTATTAAGTTATTGAATTGTTAAATACTAATCAAATACATCTGAGTTAGGGCTGCAAACGAACCGAGCCGAGTCGAGCTTTGAGCTAATCGAGCCGAGCCTCGACTAAATTTTACCAAGCTCGAGCTCGAGCTCGAGCTCGACGAGCCGGCAAATTTCGAGCTCGAGCTCGACTCGAATCAAGTCGAGCCGAGCTCGAGCTCGAAAAAAAATAAAAATAAATATTTTATTTAAAAAAAATAAATAAAATAATATTTTTTTCTTAATAAATAATAAAATATTAAGGACATATACGTAATTTTACTATAAAAATAAAAAATAAAAAATATATATATAATATACGTAATTTTATTATTAAATAAAAATAAAAATAAAAAAATATATATATATATACCCAAGCTCGCGAGCCGGCTCGCGAACTAACGAGCTTAATATTCTGAGCTCGAGCTCGAGTTTGACTCGAGCCGGCTCGAGCTCGACTCGAGTTCGATTAACATCGAGCTCGACTCGAGCTTGACTCGAGCCGCTCGCGAGCGGCTCGATTCGTTTGCAGCCCTAATCTGAGTGTATATCACATTCAATGATAAATGAATATGTTAACACTTATTTTTGTGAACAAGTTTTATTTAGAAAATTCAATACCACCAAATTAATTCAGATATTCAATTTTTTTATTATCAAACGTGTCTGAATATATTAAGATCTGAATCTATTAAATTTAAGTACTAAATTGATTTATCAAACAGGGC